CGCGGGCCGGGAGGCGGGTTCGGAAGGAGAACCCGGGGGCGGGGTCCGCGGCGCGCGCAAGCGTGATCTCCGCGGTGGCGCGGCGAAGATGGCGGCCTCCGGTTGGGTGCGCGCGGCCCTGGTCCTTCTCTGCGCCTCTGACCTGCTGCTGCCGCCGCTGCCGCCGAGGGCCTGCGCTGCCGAGGGCGTGGCCGGGACGCCCGGGGAGGCCAGCCCGCCTCCGCGGAAGAAGAAGAAGGATATTCGCGACTACAACGATGCGGACATGGCGCGTCTGCTGGAGCAGTGGGAGGTCCGCGCGCGCGCACCCGCCGGCTGCTCTCGGTCCCGGGCCCCGCTCCCGCTGACCTCCGGCCCCTCTGCACGGGCGCCCTCCACACCCCGTCTCGGTGTCGCCCTCTCTGCCAAGGCCGGGCGGCCTTGCTGCCCGCCCCAGCCTCACCCCAGTGCCCCCTTGCGCCCTTCCGGGGCCTCGCCCTACTTTCTCGGCGCCCAGGTGGTCAGTGAGCCCGGCGCGTGGGGAGGGGGACCTTTTGCACGCTGCTCCTCGAGGCTGGGCTGAGCGGGCGGGTGAGGGGTACACAGCGAGGGTCATCTCCCCTTTAACTGGTTCTCCCGTCTTCTGGACCAGAAGCGTCCAGACTCCTCGTTCCGGTATATTTCTTGCTGAGGGTTTTGTAATTTGGGGAGTGGGGGTGGGGGAGGTCAAAAGCTGGTGCTCACATTTTCGTTTAAAGGAGCAAAGACTTGTTTTTGTGAGAGTAGGTTTTTTGGTTTGTTACCTGAGTGCTCTGGAGTGTGTGATAAGGTTTTTAGATGAGGTTCACCGAAGGAAAACTCGTGCCTTTTTTCCCTTGCAAAAGTGGTTGAATGGTCCTGGCTCATTTGCAGAGCTGGTGGAGTGGAGTCCGAAACTTGGGTTCTTTTTTAAAGTTTATGTATTTTGAGAGAGAGAAAAGAGAGCATGAGTGGGTTAGGAGCAGAAAGAGGGGGAGAGAGAATTCCCAGCAGTGCAGAGCGTGAGGCGGGGCTGGAACTCAAGGAACCCTGAGATCGTGACCTCAGCGGAGTTCAAGAGTCAGCCGCTTAACCGACTAAGCCACCCAGGCTCCCCGAGAAACTTGGGTTCTCCTGGCCGTGTAACCTTGGGCAATTCCCGTTTCCGCTCTGGGCTTCAGGTTCCTTATCTGCAAAATGAGGTTTTACCCGATGATGCCTTCCCAGGCTGGTGTCTTCTTACTTTGTGGTTATCTCCGTGTGCGTGCCTCATTTGATAGAGACTTTCAGACGTGAGTTTAAAATACCATCTGATGAATTTGACTAGGAGAAAGCAGACTTGTACTTCCATGCGTATCCGCAGCTGATGGCAAGATGGGGGTAGCTATGAGTGTGCACGGGGTAGCTATGAGTGTGCACACTGCTAATGAAGAGGGAACGTCTCGCAGCAGCTCCTTCCCTGTTTACTGTCTCCCTTGTAATCGCCCATCTGTTTATGGTCTAGCTACTGAAGTGTCTGATTCCCTAAAGTAAGAGCGCTGTCTCTTGAGGAAGTAATACCTTGAAGTACTAAGTTAGACAGAAACGGAGGTGAACAAGGGATCCGACCATCAGGAACAGCAGTGACGGTACAAACAACCATAATACAAAGTAGGAATTGTGGAGTACTGTGGGAAGAAGGTGCGGTGGGACTTTCAGAGGGTTCCAGGGAACACAGGGCATCTGGCTAGAGGCAGGGGCAATGTGGAGAAGGGCAGCGGGAGCTGGGTCGGGGTGGGGGGGCGTGCAGATAATAGAGGCCAGGCTTGGCAGCTAGACTGGCTGGGTTCAAACCACTTGTGACTTTGATGGTGAAAGTCTCCTTACCCACAAAACAGAGGCGTTCGCAATGCCCACCTCAGAGTAGTTTGAGGATTAGCCGAGGAAACCTGGGAAGAACCTGGGATAGCGCCACTCTGATGGCAAGCCGTGATGGTAGGAATAGTTCGGTTAGCTGGAGAAGGCTGCGTTTGAAGCAAGGTAGTGAGCGGTCCGGGTGGAAAGGCCGACGCGAACCAGGCTGCGCTGGGCCTCTCCAGTGTTCCGGGGTCTTCGCTTAATTTAGAAGACAATACACGGGCCCTGATGAGTTTGAAAAGCTGTGTGACCCAAATACTGCCATAATGGAACGCTTCTGTGTGATCGTTCATACCTTGGGACTGACATGCGTGTTCCCTCACTCGTGTCCCCTCCGCGTGCAGATGGTTTTTACAGCTCAGAGCCCGGCATCAGGGTCATTTCCTGCTGTTGGTTTTCTCATTAGACATACTAAGCATTTCCCCAGGTTACTGCACGGCCTTCATAACACTTTGAGAGGGTTCAGAGTGTGCCCCGGAGTGAGGTTCCAGCTGTGGCGGGGGTTCTTGAATCGTGGGCTATCATGATTAGAAAAATTGGTCAGCAAAGTTTAGGATGGGTGGGCAGAGAGAGACTCCGAAGGCAGAAACAACTTCGTAGTTAATACTGAGTTTTTGTTTTGTAACAGGACTGCCCTTGGCATGCACACTCCTTTAATGCTCTCACCCTGCTTTCTAGATGATGACTTTTGAAGCCCAGAGAGGTTGAGTAACTTGCCCCATGTCATACAGCATATAAGCTGAACCGAATTTCATCATTTGACTCTCAAGCCTATTCTTTTCACCATTTTACTGCCTGGCCGTGCACCCTGGTGAGCCGAAGTACAAGTGCAAGGTGATGGGAGGGCCTGCATGAGCTGGAGTCTCCTGGATCAGAGTGGAGGGGGGAATGTGAGAGAGTGTGCTCAACTTGATAGCTGGCGGTTGTGTGACCAGGCAGGAGACAGCATGATGTGCTGAAGGCACAGGGGTTTTGAACCCGGCCTTACTGCTTGTAAGTGTGACCCTCATTTTCCTTAACCGTGAAGCCGGACAACCTCCCCCTTTGCAGGGTGCCGTGCAGACCAGGTGAGCCAACATTCGCACACCGTCCACAAATGTGAGTGCCCTTCCCCGGTAGCAGTGATTTTTCTGTGGGAGAGCTTTTTTGTGAGAAACAGTACTTCCTCCCCCAGGGGGCGATCCCTAAATCCCCCCGCCCTACCTCCTTCCCACTGGTGTGAGAATCATTCTTCCATTGAGATACCTGCCTCCCGGGTCAAGTGGGGCAGAACGGGAACCCTTTCCTCTGTGTTAGGTTTAATGCTGAGTCCCAGGTGGTGTAGGAAAACCGAAGGCAGTTCTTTCATTCTACACGCCAGCAAGGGGCAGGTGGGGGGCGGATCCCAGAGCCAGAAATGTGGGTTCGCTCTCCAGTGTCGGTGTCACCCCTGCTAGCATGTGACCTCGAGTAAGTTATTTTCTTCTCCGAGGCTCATCCCCCTCATCTATTCAGTGGGGGCCTCGCAGGGCTGTCCTGAAGGTTGGGCGCATGGCAGCCAGTGTTAGCATCAAGGAGCACAGGAGGGAGGAAGAAAAGGGTCTGCAGAAAGAGGAGTTCAGCTTTGTAACTATTGAATGTGACCAGCAGCCAAGGAGAAGCAGGGAAGAAGCAGGGGAGCCGGTTGAAAATGCCTGGAGGCAGGGTCGGGCTGTGTCTGGGGAATGCCTGACCTGTGACAGTCCCACCCCTGCCCAGGGATAGAGGCTTGATTGCTGCAGGAGTAGAGAAAGTGATAAGAACATATCAGATTGCCCAGGGGAGAAGCCGAGGGGCATGGGAGGAAGTAAGTAGAACCCGACTGTCAGCCACATGGGGTACTGTTCCTCCCCCTCCCCTCCCCGCTTTTTGGTAACTGATACACAAAAACCTAGAAGGTGGAATTCAAGTTGTTTGAAACAATCCTTACCCTTGCTGTTTGCACTAGACTTCTGATCAATTATGTTTTCATTGAAAAGAGATGCTATGTGTGACCTACGCAGTTAACTTCATGACCATTAGTGAAGTCAGTGTGAAAAATACAAATATTCTAGGTTACTGAGCCAACTCGAAGTCTGAAGGTGTTTTAAGAAGCGATAGCACATGTTAGGGAGGAATAAAATGGAGATGGAGACAGCCTGTGAATTCGGCGACCAGGAGGTCCTACGTCATCTCCACAGCTGGTTGCGGGTCTGATCATTGGGTGTTTATGGCCTGCCTTTATGTCACTGAACCCCCAAACCCTAGGAGGGAGATGCTGTCCCCCCCCACCCCGTTATAGGTGGTTTTCCAACCTGCCCAAGACCCTCTGACTGCACAGCACGTGCCTCTGTGTGCCAGTCACCATGGACTCTTAAAGCAAAATGAGGAAGAAACGGGTCGGTAGAGAGAGTGGCAGAGATGAGAAGCTCTATGCATCGTGTGTAGTCACTGTTGGGGCCGTGGGGCCAGCTGGTTCTGCTTTTCTGTTTAAAGATGAGGAAACAGGCCCAGGGGAGGAGGGAGTCCCGGCGGCCGCGGTCAGCCGGCTAGTTAGGTGGGGCTCACGCAAGGTCCCAGGTCTGATGCCAACGTGGGGCACCTTCAGGCACCGCTGTACGAGTTCCTGTGCTCTTAGGCGCATTTTAATAGACTGTTGACGTCCTCGCCAGTTTGTCAAGAGGACCGAGTAAGAGAGAGATACGGGCTCTTCGTGTCATTTTAGGTTAGTCGTTTATCGGGGTGTTCGATAACCGTTTTATTGAGAGAATTCACATGCCCGACAGTTCACCCATTCAAAGTGTACGTTTCCGTGGTGTTTTCAGAGGGGCGTGCCGCCGTCACCACTGTCAATTTTAGAACATGTTCGTCATCCCAGAAAGAGACTCTCGTCTCGGTCGCCCTCCCCCACTTCCCCTGACCCTCCAGCCTGTGGCCGGCAGCCACTAATCTCTGTTCTGTTCTGGACGCTTCATGCCAGCCGTCTCGCACAGCGTGGTCTTTTGCGTGCGGCTTCTTTCACTTAGCATAGTGTTTCCAAGGACCACCCGTTTGGTGACTTCTCTCGGTACGTCGTTTCTTTTTGTGGCTGGAATTATTAGGCTTTTCTCCGAAGAACTCTTGATTCTTAAATATTTTTATTTATCGCTCTGCCTGCCTACCTATGAAGAATCACGTGCTCCTTCGCACCACAGGGCATCGTCTTCCTCCTGCAGTTCTGCCCCTAAGTGAAGAACCGGGTGTCATTGTCCCTAACGTATTTTCTCCTTGGCTCCAGCCTGGAAGTCACAGATGGTAGCGTCACAATTGCTTGTTCACACGACTGCAGAAAACAAAGCCTGCTAACTAGAGTTGAGTGAGGAGTTCAGGTTGTTTTATTAAAAATTATTTTTAATTTCTATTTTTGAGAGAGCGAGAGAGACAGAGCACGGGCAGGGGAGGGGCAGAGAGGGAGGGAGATACAGAATCCGAAGCAGGCTCCAGTCTCAGCCGTCAGCACAGAGCCCGACGCGGGGCTCGAACCCACGAGCCGTGAGATCCTGACCAGAGCTGAAGCCGGAGGCTTAACCGACTGAGCCTCCCGGGCGCCCCAGACAGTTCTTATTTTTTAGTCGACGTTGATACACATGAAATGCAGATTTTAAGTATAGTGTGCAGGAGTTTGACCGGTGAGTATCTGTTGTCCGCACCCCCTGTCAAAGTAGAGACCATTTCTATCCTCTCAGAAGTTCCCTTGGGCCCCGTCCTAGTCAAACCCACCTCATCCCCCACCCAGAGGCCACCGCTGTTCCTAATTTCTTAATTGTGTCTCATCTCGAACTTTAAATAAATAAGTTTATAGTGTTTCTGATTTTGTGCCTGGCTTCTGTCACTCAGTATTGTCCTTTTGAGGTTTGGGGCACACCATCAGTGTTTTCTTCTTCTTCATTGCTGTGTTGTGGTTTATTGTGGGACCAAACCAGAATGTGGCCGTATTTACAGGCCACCGTATCGGGTAGATTCTTTGAAGCCATCACACAGGGGCCTCAGGTATCGGTGACCCTGCCTGAGACTCGGGCTTCACCTGAAGGTCCGGTAGAGGAGGACAGCTCCCGGGTCTCCTTTTCCTGTGCTAACGTGGGTCACCGCACCTGTGGGCACGCGCGGCCCTTCTCGCCTGCCCCGCTTGACAAGCACATTTCTGATGATGCGTGACGCTGTGTTTTGTGTCCTCATAGAAGGATGACGACATCGAAGAGGGGGACCTCCCGGAGCACAAAAGACCCTCAGCCCCTATCGACTTCTCCCAGATAGACCCGGGCAGGCCCGAGAGCATCCTGAAGATGACGAGGAAGGGGAAGACGCTCATGATGTTCGTCACTGTGTCCGGAAACCCCACTGAGAAGGAGACGGAGGAGATCACCAGCCTCTGGCAGGGCAGCCTTTTCAACGCCAACTACGACGTGCAGAGGTGAGGCGGCGGCCCGCTGAGAAAACCGTAGGCGGTGCTGGGACTTTTCCCCAGTCTGGAGCGGGAGCCCTTTCCGGCGGTGCCTCCCTCGGGCCCAGGACCTTTCCTGCCTCGGGTTTCCTCTTTGACGCTTCTGTTTATCCCCACCTTTGTTTTCTTTTTAAAGAAAAACGTTTATTATTGGTCAGGGCCCGTAAGTTTTGGGGGTTTTTTTTGTTGTTTTTTTTTTTTT